ATGTTCCCCTATGACAATGGCTAACAATCTCACAACACATCAGCAATATCCTTACTCAACCTTGGGTTCCCTATCACCAGCTTCCTTGTCCCCTTCTGCTTTCTGGCCCTTGTCACTGGACTGCTGTACCTTGTTAGTCTCATTTGGTTTTACGGGCCCCGCTCCATTCTGACCCTGCACCCTGCCCTCAACAGTCTGGGGAACTCCGTGAGTCACCCTAAAGGGCCAGGTTTTCTGAGCACGCGAGTCAGGGAAACACACACCTCTGTTCTGACACCACCCCCCGGAGCGCTCCGATCCGTCCAGGCTTCTCTGGAGGAAAAAGAAGAGACCTGCCTCCGCGTGGCGTGTTAGGAGGGAAAAACCGAGGGTTTTTTAGGAAGCGGTTCCGACTCTCCATTCGGGCAAGCAGGAGTCGCTCCGTTTCTCTCTGCGGCACACGTAAGTGGTTCATCCAGTTTTTGTTCTTCGGTAGACTCGCTTTCTTTGAAACACAGAGAAGTATGGAGTCAACGGGCTGTGCGTGTGGACATCTGACCAAGCCCATGGCCCACAGATGGCCAGGGCAAAAGCTACTCTCCATTAGCTGTGGATACAGCCGAGCTTCTTGTGCCATTCTGCACTCCTTCCCGCTCCCTACTCCATCCCCACTGTTCATACACATTGCCACGCACAGACCTCAAACTAACCTTGACAGGTTTTTTGGTCCTGTGTTCGGCCTCAACAGATGAGGCCCGTGTCAAACTGTCCAAACTGGGCCTGAACTCCTCAGCACCAGCCAGCTTCTTTCTGCACAAAACTTCCAGCCTCTCGGTCGGCTCTTTCTTTGCGACCGCACGCTTCTCACAGCTACATGTCAGTTTCTGACATCCAGGGACAGACCTGCCTGTGGCACCAAGGAAACAAACCAAGTTACGTATCAAGGTGAACAAGTGGCTGGATGTTTCTAAGATGACGAACGAAACCACTAAAGCCACAGTCGGCTCGACAGTTTCTCCAGAAGTTTCGCATTTACCACATCGAATGTCGCTGCTCTTCAGCATATGAACTGCTGGAACTTATCCTCTGTGTCCAAGACTTAGGACTACGGGACTAAAACATCTGCTCAGTTTTCAACACAGTCAAAGAGCATGGAAGACCCTTATCACACACACTTGTGCTACACACACCTCGTCTGAAGATGCTTTTTAAAAAACTCAAACATGAGGAATCAAAATTCGTGTCAGCTTTGTACACCTATAAGATCACCTCCGAAAGGTTGAGCGAGAATATCTACCGCTAACAAGAATGCAACAGAACGGTCACCACCATACTTACCTTATGCTTTACCTAAAGCCCGGCAAATGCTCAATGAACACTGGCTCCATCCTTCTTTACCTGCACAATACAGTGAGTTTCCAGCTAACTGTAAGATAGTAAGGGGCTTCATACCCCATGACAGTGGGTTCTGCTGCCTCTTTCTGGCCTCAGAGCTCAGTCTCAGTAAAATTCTCTTCTCATCAGCCCCTTCAATTCTCTAGATCCCAACCTTCCCATCCCAAACTCTTTCTCAGCCACAAAGCCCCAGAGATGTCCACACAGTCCCACGGATTGGGACTGCTGGGTTGCCTGTCCTCTATGCATGGCACTACTAGGCAATTCGGATGTTTAGCCACCGTTGGTTCATTCTCCCCATCTACAGTGACTCTCCCCAAAACTCGTCTGTGTAAGCCTGCCACACAGCCCCCCACTCCTCTGGTTCTCAGAAGACCCTGGCTCCCACATCACAGGAAACTGGCCCAGCACCGTACACACGTTCACACTCCTGTTGGCCTCCCCACGCCCCCTTCCCTCCATTCTCGCTGTTTCCTGCACGGGCACATCCCTGAGCCCGTGTTCTGCCTCCATCTCCTCCTTCTTCCCTAAGGAATTTGCTCCCTTGCCTATCTATACCTTTGGTTTCCCCGTCTTGGTTCTTTCAACTACATCTTAAATATTTCCACGTCTCCTTGTGCTGGGCAGGGGGCAAGAGCCATCAGGGTGAGAATCAGGACTCTGATCTTGCAGGCGTTGGAGGGGGAGTGAGGAGGTGGCATGCTCAGATTTGACTTTCCTAGGCATCACTATCAAAATTAAAGAAAAAGGAGAAAAATACCCGTGAAAAAGGAAACAGCGGCAAAGACGGTCAACGTGGTCCTGCGACTAAAGCCTTTTCCTGGAGTAACATCAGCGCTCAAGGAGGGCACAGACACAGTACCTTTGGGTGCAGAGCAAAACGGTGTCGTATCGCTGTAGTAATCTTCCGGGCAGATCAAATGGTGTTTCTGTAGCAGCTCATTGTCCACGCACCATCTGAAGACAGACTTGACTATGTAGAAGGGAAAGAGGATAAAGGTGTTTCAAACCAGCCTGACGCGGAACAATCTGCACCCGAACTTTCTTCATCCTCTGAGCCTAAACCATCTGACAACACTTTTCTCAGGAACCTGTGGCAATGCTGACATTGAAGAAACCGATCAGCGAATATTTATTGGCCACTTCAAAGAGGCCAATCACTGGGCAAGGCTGTGTGGCAGTATTATTTGAGTTAAAATATTGTTACAGAAACGAGCAAATCTATCTTGAAAGAAGTACAGCCAGAATGCTCCTTAGAAGCAAAGATAGCAAGACTCCATCTCACATACTTTGGACACGTTATCAGGAGGGACCAGTCCCCAGAGAAGGGTATCATGCTTGGTAAAGTAGAAAGTCAGCACAAAAGAGGAAGACCCTCGAGGGGATGCACTGACACAGTGGCTGCACAATGGGTGAAACGTAGCAACAACTGTGGGGACAGCACAGGACCGGGCTGGGCTTCCCTCTGTTGTGCTTAGGGTCACTGTGAATCAGAACCGACTTGCCGGCAGCTAACATCAACACTGTTACAGAAAGGTCTGTAAAAGAACAGAATTAACAGAAGTGTGGTAGATTGAATAACTAGCCCCAATTCTTCCACCTTCCCTATATCCACACTCTCTGCCATGTGACTTTGCAGTCCCTGCTGCTATAAGCTGAGTGCATTTCTTCACCCATGACTTCAGGACTGGCCACGTGCTGTCCTTTAGCCAATGAGAAGTTAGCTGGGGTTTGACCCGTGCTTTTGCAGTTGTATAGCTGGGCTTTCCCGCTTGTACCTTTACCTCCACCATAAGAGCTTCCGAACCCAAACCCTAACCCTTCATCTTGGACCTCAGTATAAACCGACAAGGAGACAACTTGAGCCCAACATGTAGCAAGGAGCCAAGCTCAGCTGAACCCACAGCTTGAAACCAGCCAAGCCCAGCTAGCTCAGCCCACCCCCAACTGACCCACAGACAAATGAGAGAGAAGATCTCATTTAATAAAGTGGGAAGTCAATAATTAATGTCTATGGATCATAAACCAAGAAACAGTAGGTAAGATACATTATTCAGAGGTACCAGAAGAATTAAAACTAGAAAGGATCACCTTTGGCAAGTGGACTGAGGTTGGGAGAGTTGGAAGCTTATATATTTTATTATAAGCTCTTCTAAACTGGTTTTTTAAAATCATGTATATTACTCTGATTAAAAAAAAAAAAAAGGAGTAGAGGAAGATTTGGAAGTTTTAAAACTGTTGCTTGCTCCATTAACCAATGTTACCTTAAGACATGGTGCCTTTCAATGGTCCTTCCCTTTGGAGGCTCCCTGTAGCCAAGGGTATAGGGGAGACAAGCGAATCATACATTTTCCCACCATATGTGCTAATTTATGAATTCTGAGGTTTGGGCTAGTCACTATAATAGTCAGGGATCACTTAGGAAAAATCAAAATATTAAAACCTCCACCCAAGGGCAAAGGCCACCATCTCCTTCTGATACCATCCCCTCCACAGACAGA